AAATATGTCTATTTATCTCTGGTAATATTTTTAGACATGAGTCTTACTATTTCTGGTACTATGCTTTATTAAACTCACTGCTTATATGAACTATATTTCCACTCTTGTATTTTCAGCCCATCTATATATTATATTTAAAGTACACCCTTTTTGGTAGACATTTTGCATACTGTATTCATTCTGACAAGTCTTTCTTAATTGGAGTATATGGTGTATTTATGTGTAATGTTAACGCTGATAGGGTTGGACCTACTCTTTGTTTTACTCTTTACATTTTGTTTTCAGTTATCATCTGTTATTTGTTCTTTCTTTCCTTTGGACTTATTTTTTAGTATTTCATTTTATTAATAGTTTTCTATATACTCTTTAGTTATATCTCCTGGCTGTTTGAGGAGGGGGTTGCTTTCCCAGTGACAGTCTGTGTTTTTAGCTTTGCAATAGTGTAGTGATTCTAAAACGCCTGCTGTTTTTTCTGCTGCCGTTGTCATTTAAATTACACTCGAATACTTTTAGTTATAGGGTTTTTTCTGTAGTTGGTCATCATCTTTCTGTAGAAATGAAGAGCTGAAATGAATACTATCTTTTTATATTTGCTTACATACCTATACTTTCTAGTTTTTTAAAAATTTCCCCCGTGATCTAACTTACATCTGTTATTTCTCTTTATCCTGAATTTTCTTGATGATGGTTTTAGGTTGAGGGGTTTTTTCTTCTCCTTGGTCTCTTTAAAGCTGCTATTCCATTACCTGCAGGCTCCCGTTGTTTCTAATGAGGAATTGTTGTTATGCCTCTCCACGTATGAACTGTTGTGGTTTGGTCTCTGTCCAAGCTGCGTGTCATTGGTTAAAGATGATACAAAGCAAATTTTATTCAGTAACTGTTGCCATCATGGTGGTAAGATGGGAGCCCAGTCCCAGTTTGCACAGAAGTGACTGGAATAATGAGTAGCGCGGGGGTCGAGAGTGGGGTCTGCAACAGAGGCAGGGAAGTGAGAAATTACACACCGCGAGTGGGCGAGAGGTTTGGTTCGTGTCGCTGGTTTAGGCCGTCTGTGTTTGCCGAAAGGCATTTGTCAGAAGTTAGGCTTCTGCCTTTGCTTAGAGGGCAAACTGGGAGGCAGACAGAGGCCCCTTTTTCCTGATGATCAGTTACATTTCAAAGGAACGGTTTTCAGGTCCTCCCCTCCTGAGTTGTAGTCATATATACATTTCAAAGAGACAGGAAGGATTTACAATTGTAAGCTTTTTAAAATAGATGCTCCTCAGGAAAAGGAGGCCAGAAGCCTGTGTATCAGTATTGGCTGGGACAAATGGTAAATTCTTTTGGCAGTCTTGAGCATTTCCAGACAGAACTCCAGAGGGTCTGTGTCACACCACAGACGAGGCCTTAGGCTTCTAGAAGCCATGTTAGAGTTTGGTCAAGTCTTCTACTGCAAAGGTTTGGATGGATTCCTTTGTGGAAAGAGTTTTCATACTTCTCACGAGCTTAAAGATTTTCTTTTCAATGTTTGTTTTTAGCAGTTTGACAGTGATATGCCCTAGTGTGTTTTTGGTTGTTTCATGGGTGTTATTTTTAAACTGCTTATTATTCACTGAGTTTCTGGGAAGCATAAGTTTAGTTTTTCACTGAATTTGAAGAGTTTCAGCTATTATTATTGCAAATATTTTTGTCTGTTCTTAATTGCCCTCTTTTGGGGACTGCATGTGCTACTGAAACTTTTATTTTGTTATTCAGTCTTTTATTTCAGTTCTAATTAGATAACGTCTATTGAGCCATCTTTAAATTCACTGACTCTTATGTCTTCTCCCACCATCAGGTTAATTTTTAATTTCTGATTTTGTAGTTTCCAGTTATAGAGTTTTCATTTGTTTTTATAGTTTCCCTGAGATTCCTATTGGTTCATTAAGTCCATGAACATGCTCATAGTAGTTACTTCAAGATTTTTGTCTGTTAATTAATTCATTTTAATGGTCTGTTTCTAACGGCTGTTTTTTCTTTTAACCAGGGGGTAACAGTTTCTTATCTCTTCTCATGTTTAGTATTTTGTGATTTTTGTATTGGATATTTGGGACAAAATATCATAGAGACTAAATTCTCTTATCTTTCTCTGAAGAGGACTGATTTTTGTTCTTACAAATAGTTTTGGGTCACCTGAAAGTGCAAACTGCTTCTGAGCAAAGGAGTAGCTGAAATCCGAGCTTCGTTCTTTCAGACTTACAAGTGCTGGTTTTGAACAGGCCTGCACAGCCTCTCCCACAGGGACAGTTTGGGGTCTGGCCAGGATTCACACTCCTGTTCTGATGTGGTTTTTTTTTTTTTCCTTCCCCTTTGTGGCTTCTTTCCTTCATTATGGGATTCCCCTCTTCTTTGTCCAGCCTTTCAGATAACCCCACATCCACCCTCTGTTTCTGCAGGTTGTTAAAACTGCCGTTTTTTGCTTAAGGTCTAGTTCCCCTGGGTAGCTTCCACTGAGGGTTGCCTTACAGACCGCGCAAATGCATCTCACCTGGTGCTGCACCCCCCATAGAGGTTGGCTTTCCTTCAGTTTCTGTCTGCTTTGTGTCTCTCCACTGTTATCAAATAGTTGATTTTATTTTGTTTTCAAATAGTTAATTTTATTATATTTTGTTTAAAGGCTATCATTTTTATCCAAAAGAAGGTTTGCCCGATTGAGGCTGCCCTACTGGCAGGACCTCTATTCTGTTTTGTATTCCTTTATTAATTTCATACAGTTGCCACTATTGAAGATTATAATGTGTTTCAGGATCTAGTAGAGCCAGTTGCTTCTTCGTGGAAGTTTTCTTGGTCATTCTTGTAATTTTTTTTTATATATGTTGAGTAATCTTGTTTGAGTCTTAAAAATCTTTTTTAATTTTTGTTGAGAGTCCATCAAATATGTAAATTTGGCAGAACTGATATTGCTATGATGTTAGCTTCCTATTTAGGAAGATGTATGTTTTTCTCTTTGGTTGATTTTTGTGTTCTTTAATAATTAAAACATTTATTTTTGTAGTTTTGACACATTTATAATACATTTATCCTAGGTATTTTGTATATTTTGATATAGATTGATTCTTTAAGAAAATTTTCATATATAAATGAGGAAAATTTTTACTTGATAGAAGCAAATTTATTATTTTTAAATAAACCTTCCAATTTGCATGAGAGAGATTGCAATGGTCAATAGAACTGAGGCTTAAATACTCTGTGATGGCAATGGAAAAGTAGCTGAGTTAAGAGTTGGGAGGTAGTTCTGTCTGCCTCTAGATTGATTGCATGCTTTTAACAGCTACTGTTTATTGTTCTCTCATATATTTCAGGGCTTGAATAAAACACAACTTAAGCTCTTCATGCCCTGTTACATTTCTGCTTCTCATGTCAGTTCCAGAGTTTCTTGAATGAAATATTTATTTTAGCCTCATAAGAGCAGAATATCCACATTATGTACTCTTCTCAGTCATTTTCTTTTGGCTGTTTTCAAAGAGAAGAGGAAGATGTATACTGTTCTTCAGAGGTTTGAATTCAGATTCATGAAACTCTAGAGTTGGGTTGGTTTTATTGTTATGTTTCCAGTAGATAGTTGATAAATATCTTAAATAAAAGAACCATTCACGTCATGGTTTTTTAGTCAGTACACCTTTGGGAGAAAAGAAAAGGTCTGAATTAGCCTCCGGTTTGGCCTTTTCTGACTTTTGTAGTCTGAGAAGTGGAAGTTAGACTTCTGAAGCCTAAAAAAAACCAGTAAAATGTCTCAACAAAGTGCTCCAAAGTGTCTGAAAATGCATTTTGCAAAGCCACCCTGCATTACACTGACGCTAGCTTCCAGTGCAGCTCAGTGACCCTGCAGGAGGCCCTGAGTAGCCCCACCGGACTGGACGAGTTGCCCAGCCTCAGGAAGGCAGCGCTTTTCACCAGCGCCCTTTGAAATGCTGAGTGAGTGAGCCCGTTAGCAAAGGATGCTCAAAAGTTGTTTTGAGATGTTTCTTTCTCTTCCTTTAAGTTTTGATGATTTCATAACATGTAAGAAGTTGGAATGGAGTTTCAGAAATTGTCTTTTGACCCTCATTTTTAAAAAAGTATGATCTGCTATCTTTGGCAAGACCCCTTTGGCAGAGAGTAGTTCGATTCCAGACTGTTTATTAAGCTCTTCTTTTCTCCTCTTCTCAGAATTCTCATACAAATGAAGTGGTGGCAGGGAAAATAGGCGGACTTGTATCTGGGCTGTCCTTGTTCTGGAAAGAAATGTGGAAGAAAAATTATGATTTTTGAAATTTCAAATCAGATTTTTCAAAAAATCTTTTTGGTGTATATCTTTCAGGTGAATTGATGAAGAAAAACTAGATACAGCAACTTTGATACAGCAATTTTGTCATAGTCATAGTATCTTTTACAAATGCTTTCACATATCTTTAATCCTTGTAGCAGTTTCTTAAAAATTTTCAGGTAGTGTGCTATGCTAGGATGACTTCAAAATCCATTTCCTTGTCCTTTGTAGTAATAAGAGCAATAATAATTTTCAGTAAAACTGAATATGTATGTATCTTAAACAAATAACCTGGAAATTTTAACGATATATGTCTGTTTTAATTGAAATTTTATCTATGTTAAAAATACCAGTTGATATACATTTTTAGATTTTTTTTTTTAACTGGATTATAAAATGAAGCACTGTTAGTAAGACTTAATGGCATAGGATCCTTTGTTGTGAGTAGAGGAAATTGGAAAAGGCACAGTTATGATTTCATTAAGCTAGAGAGCATTGGTGTTCACATTTTAAAAACATAATCATAACTTATCTGGAGTCACATGTTCCATTTTATTGGCTTCCTTCATATAGAAAATATAGAAATCAGCACTAAATGCCCGTGAAAAAGTGAAGTGGCGTATATTTTCTGGGTGAAGGAAGCGTTCTGCACATTCTCCATGTTTTGCATCATGGTAATTTGAATAACCATGCTTCCATGTTCACGTCAACTTTTTGTTTTTCAATTTATGCACAGCACTTGCTCTGAAATTTGGGGACTGAGTACACCAAATACGATAGATCAGTGGGATACAACAGGCCTTTACAGCTTCTCTGAACAAACCAGGTGAATATGCTGCCCTCTATGGAATCCTAGAGATCTTGTGGGAGGGAGGGTGTTTTGGAAGACCTAAAGTGGGTTGCTTAGTATAATTTTGCCTAGGATGTTTCCTTAATGTAAAATAAGGCATGGCATTTAAAATAACTGCTTGCCAGTATTAAAAATATATTAAATGTTTCCGCTGACATGTTGATCAATGAAATTCTAGTTTTGAATCTTTAAATTACTGCATCCCCTAAAGAATAGGAGCTTTGATAACTATATTCTCATTTTAGTGTGAGGGTAGATTATAATCTGTTGTTGGCCTAATTTTTCAGTAGATACATAACCAGTTTTTTGCTAAATTTCTTGCTGTCATATAAATCTCATCTTTATACTAATAAGTACATGGTTATTTACTGAACCCCTTATGTCACAAATAATGCTAGGCTGACTCGTTTTGGTTATTTATTTTTTTTTAATCACCTTATTCTCTTTTTGAGCATATTGGTATTTGTCCATTTCATCACATCATTTTCATCACCATCTGCATTTATGTGTGAGCTATAGAAAATATACCTCAGTACTCAACAGTCACAACCGGGTAATGAGTTATGTTAGTTTTAGTAAGTTACTTTTACATCATTGTTGGTATTTGCCATTCTTCACACTAGTTCCTTTTTTGATGATTCCAGCACCTGCAGAAGTAATGCCCTAATCCTCCCTAAGAGTTTGAGTCACTAAAGATAAAATGTTGATAACATTTTTCACGTGTAGCTGTATGAGACTTTTAAAAAATAAAAACATTTTTTCCCCAAACGGCTACCTGTTCATTGATTGACATTTGAGTCATTTATGTAGCATGTTTATAAGAAAAATACCCTAGTGCTGCTGCTTACCTTTATATCAGATCCATTAGATAGTACATTTTTCTTCCTTGTATTTACTAAAACTAACTAAATGTCTGTCATTCCTTTCTTTATGCTCTTAATGTACTAGTTTAGCCCAATTGAGTATGTTTATTTTTTTTTAAAAGTTCCCATCTTTCTTTTCCCCTTGCTTCCCAACAGGTCTCTAGATGGTCGTCTTCAGGTGTCCCATCGAAAAGGACTGCCTCATGTAATATATTGCCGATTATGGCGCTGGCCTGATCTTCACAGTCATCATGAACTCAAAGCAATTGAAAACTGCGAATATGCTTTTAATCTTAAAAAGGATGAAGTATGTGTAAACCCTTACCACTACCAGAGAGTTGAGACACCAGGTAGGAAAATTGGGTTTTTTCCCCTTGTTTTGGTTAAATGCTTGAATTTAAGTGTATTAGGTACTCTTACACCTAACTGACCCAGGGAAACTTTGGCATAAAACTCTTTAATAGTGGAAAGTGAAAGTGTTAGTTGCTCAGTTGTGTCTGACTCTTTGCTTCCCCATGGATTGTAGCCCACCAAGCTCCTCTGTTGGTGGAATTCTCCAGGCAAGAATACTGGAGTGAGTTGCCATGCCCTTTTCTTCCTGACCCAGGGATCAAACCCAGGTCCCCCGCATTGCAGGCAGATCCTTTACCATCTGAGCCACCAGGGGAGCCTAAAGCTCTAATAAGTTGCCTTGAATTCAGTAAATTTTTTGGCGGTAATTAAAAATACTAAAAAAATGTTGATATATGTTTTGGAAAAATATAGCTTAGAGGGAAAGATATGTTAGTTTCTTGAAATAACATTTCACATCAAAGTACATTATCTAGGAAATTTTAATCCTATAGATACACAATCTGCTTAGAACTGAATAAGTCTCATTACCTCTCTGCTGCATTAACTGTTTTAAGTCATTTCACTCTTTGGTTTTTTTGATGTACTGTAATGATATCCTTTGTAACTAAGCAGTTTAGTAAAACTCACAGCAGGACTTTCAGTCAGTTTACTTACTCAATTTACTTAGTACTTGAAACTTAATAGAATGCTGCTATGTTTAGGGGAAAAAAGCTTGATTTTACAAATCTTACTGCAACCTTTCCAGTGAGGATTTATGAACTTCTGGGGAGTCCCTTGGACTGCAAGGAGATCCAACCAGTCCATCCTAAAGGAGATCAGTCCTGGGTATTCATTGGAAGGACTGATGCTGAAGCTGAACCAATACTTTGAACTCCAATACTTTGGCCACCTCATGCGAAGAGTTGACTCATTGGAAAAGACCCTGATGCTGGGAGGGATTGGGGGCAGGAGGAGAAGGGGACAACAGGATGAGATGGCTGGATGGCATCACCGACTCAATGGGCATGAGTTTGAGTAAACTCTGGGAGCTGGTGATAGACAGGGAGGCCTGGCATGCTGCGATTCATGGGGTCGCAAAGAGTCGGACAGGACTGAGAGACTGAACTGACTGACTGACTGATGGTCATATAATATGATCAGGATCACTCTTTCCCCAAAAGTACAAGATAAATCAGAACTTGGAGATTTAGATTGTGGACTTCGTGGTAAATTAAAATCATAATCAGGTTTGTCAGTTTTTCAACAGCCGAATAATACCAAATAAGTCAATCCTAAACTTCAGAAATTAATCGGGCTAATTCTTTTCTGTGTGTGAAGACTTTTGATAAAAGGGCCGCTCTCATCTGCTCTGGCGTTAACTGGGTTTCTTCCGCTCTTTCAGTTTTGCCGCCGGTGTTGGTGCCCCGGCACACGGAGATCTTAACAGAGCTGCCCCCTCTGGACGACTACACCCACTCCATTCCGGAAAACACTAACTTCCCAGCAGGAATCGAGCCGCAGAGTAATTATATCCCAGGTATTTTTGCCTTCTGAGTCTCCTAAACTGTGAGATAGATACAGATTTTGTTCATAAACATTCATCTGTTAATAAATAAGAAAGTTATGGTTTGGCTTTTTAAAAATTTTAATTCTACAGACATAGCAACATGTATGTTGTACTGAAAAATCAGGAAACTTCTATTTTAGTTCTTTTTCATCTGGGACTCAGTAATGCTGAAAAATAAATGAACCACATAATTCTCAAATTCTTCTCTATTACATTATGTCTCCAGTACAAACTAAAGGGATAAGCATGAGCATATAGCTGTATGTTGGATTTTTTGGTGTTTTAATTTTTTTCTCCGTGTGCAGTATTTATCTATTCCACTTTTATGTTTTATTTATACCACTGAAAATGTGAAAGGAACTTTCAGTTTCAGCTATAGTAAAAAAAAAAAAAATTGCCTTAATGTGTCTCATCATGGAAATAATGCTTGTTCTTTGGAGGTAATTTTGAAAACATAAGGTAAAAGAAGACTTTTTAAAAACAGCTATTTTTAAGGTTAAAAAGTGTTTTCTGACTGTCTTAATGCTTTTTTCTTTTACTACTATTTATTCCAAAAGGAGATTTAAAGAATAAAAGCTGCTTTTATTGGGAAACAAACATTTTGAGGAGTTAGTACAGGGCAAAGAGTTTATTGTGGAAAATGGGGGCTAGGACAAGGGGAAGCAGGGTGAACACTAGGCATTTTGTAGGGAGAGGAATTTGACTGGAAGTAGTTACATGTGAGTAGTGTGTTGGATTGAGGGAGTCCTTAAGTCTGAAGTGGAAATCAGTATAATTCAGCAATCCTTAGGAAACTGAGGTGTAAGCATTCGCTCTTGTAAGATACCTACCCAGTGATTATGTAGAAGGATGTTAGTCAAAATGTTTCACTTTTACCTGTGGATATATTTGGGCTGATTTTCCATCATCTTTGTTTAGATTTGGGTCTTTTACAAAGTGGAAAATCACATGTGGATTATACTTAACCTGCTTTTCTGGACAGTGGGTCTTTACCCAGCTCCAACTGACAGCAAAACCTTGGTGTTCACTTTTTATTCCACTGTGAAAGAAATTGTAACATTTCCTCCAAGACACTAGTATTATACCTTTGTTGTTTATTATTTTATATATAAATGATAAATATGCTATTCTTTTTCATTTTTCTCCATTATCATTTATATAAAGGTGTAAATAGGAAAAAATACTAAACTGATAAATATGCTATTCTTTTTCATTTTTCTCCATTATCAGTTTAGTATTTTTTCCTATTTACACCTTTGAGACATGGGTGGTTAAACTGGTAAAGCTTAGCTCTTTTTAATTTTATTTGATTTAACTTTTAAAATAGCACATAACTGTATATATTCTTATTTTTATATTCTTTGTTGTTCACATATTACTATGAAGGAATTTATTTTCTTCTCATATTAAAAATTTGGGGGCACTGACATTTAAAATGAAAAGTTTGATACTTAAGTTAAAACTTAAAATTAACTTATTGAAGAGAGATTGTCAACAAGAGTTCATGGAGGAGACCTTTAACCTGTATCACCTAAACTTCTTTTTCCTGCTTGGAATTATGATTGGTAAAATTGTATAAATTTTTTATTTCACATGAAACTTAGATATTCAAGTACTGTCTGAATATAAACATTTTGTTCATAAACCATTTTGGAAATGACACATTAGAATCTTATGTATTTTCAGAAAGTAATTGACCTCGGTTTTGTGTAGCAGTCTCATTTGAATTTAATTTTCTACCTCAAGCATTCAGGACTTAACTGTTTAGAAATCACTCAAGCAATCCACTTTTTAGATAGAATTCAGGCTAGACCATTCCTGAACTATATTACCATATTTTGCCCTATAGAACCTAGTGTAGTTTGTCAGCCTGTATTACTTTGTAATTCTGAATCTTGTGTGCCTATGTTGTGTGTCTAAGTGCCCATTTACGGTGGCCATTGGTTAAAAAAATTTCTTTTGGTTACTAATTCCTTTTTAAACATACTGATAAAGAACTGAGGCATCTTTGAAGTTATATTTTTGGCCCTTGCCCCAGAAAATATACAAATGAGAACAAGCCAGATATGTAAATAATAGCTAAGAAAATATGCACAGAGAGCTCAATTGTATTACAAGTGGGTTTTAAGGATTCACCTATAAGGTTTGGATCGGAACCTGAATCATAAGCCCTCAGTATCCAATACTGCTTTTTATAGTGATGTTATGTAATATTCATATGTTATTTGGAGTGATTTGTTGGTTATCTTTGGTAGCTGGGAGAAAAGGCATTGAGATTAAATTGAAGCTGTACTTGATTTGTTCTAAACTTTTGTAGAAACGCCACCTCCTGGATATATCAGTGAAGATGGAGAAACAAGTGATCAACAGTTGAACCAAAGTATGGATACAGGTAAAAAATATTTTCAAAATTACTCAGTAGTTAAATACACAATTTTGTCGTGTTTGAAATTCACTAAAATTATTATTAACCCTTATATTTAGAAAAGTTGGGATACCTATCAAAAAAATGAAATCTTTTATTTTGATTTAATCATATTTGAGCAATTAGAAAGAGGACCCTCTTTGTCAGTGAAAGATTAACACGTACTACTCTGCAGAATAATTGTTAGGATTTTCTCTTATTAGAGTTAAATAAAAATCGGGGAACACTCAGATACTTTTCAAGTGTTTTATGCTTCTGTTTAAAGTTTTAGGGACTTTATGAATAAATGTCTTTGTGATAAAAGATTATAATTAATTAACCCAATAACAGGTTTTCAGAGGAACTTGGAAGTAAGATATGGGGATCAGCTTTTTAGTGCTCTTTTAACTTAATAGTTCTGAATTATAGTAGATTGTTTACATAAAGTACCCTGTATATTGTACTTGACCTGCTTCAATTTCTAATACTCAGCTATCAACTTTAAACACAGTGAAGAAAAAATTTTGACATGTAATAAATATTACACACATCAAAACTTTAGAAAAGTTGTTATATAATAGAGTGCATGTAACACATCATAACTGATAGGTTACCAGTGAGGTAGCTGTGATGTCCCTGTAATTGTAGATCTTGATTTATTCCATCCTGGTTGTATCTTAAGGATTGGACAGCTTAATATCACAACCTGCCAAGTTACAGCATAGCTTTTTCTACACAGTTTATACTAAAGCATTCTGTATTTATGATAATCTAAGTGATTTTCTAAATAGCAGGGACTTGGGTGGTTCTCTTTACAATAATTCTGTTGCTTAAATTCTTTCATTATTTCGATTTCCAAGTAAAGAAGCTTCTGCTATAGCTAATCATACTTTATAGCTTTTCAGAATAGTAAATAACCAGGAAAAGTAGATGATGATCATTGGATATAGCATGTTGTAAATCTTTTTCTTTCTTTTTTAATTTTGGCTGAATGACTTGTGGGGTTCTTCATTCCCTACCCTCAGCACAGAGTCTTAACCACTGGACCTCATAGAACTGTATTCCTAAATCAGCCATGTTCCTTTTTGCCCTATGATGGACAGTTGCTTCTGTGACACTTAGACGTGAATATCATAAAAATATACTCTGATGACATCATTAGTCATCAGGGAAAATGCAAGTAAAATCATGACATATCACTTCACACCCTCTAGAATGGCTGTAATAAAAAAGTCTGATTCTTTGTGAACCCATGGACTGTAGCTGCCAGGCACCTGTGTCCATGGAATTTCCCAGGCAAGAATCCTGGAGTGGGTTGCCATTTCCTTCTCCAGGGAATCTTCCTGAGCCAGGGATCGAACCCAGGTCTCCTGCATTGCAGGCAAATTCTTTACCACTGCGCCACCAGGGAAGCTCTGTAGTCAAAAAAGAAGAAGAAGAAGTCTTGATGAAGATAGGAGAAGTTAAGAGTCTTCATATGTTGCTAGTGGGAATGTAAAATGGTTCAGTTACCTTGGAAAGATTTGCTGTTCTTCAAAGTTAAATAAAGAATAACAATAAGACCCAGCACTTTCACCCAAGAAAATTGAAAACATGTCCAAACTAAACTTGCGCACAAATGTAAGCATTATTCACAGTAATCTGAAAGTAGAAATGACCCAGATTGTCTATCAGATGATTAATGGATAAATTAAATGAGTTATATCTGTACTTGGGAATATTATCCAACCACATAAAAGAATGAAATACTGGTGCATGCTACAATGTGGATGAACTTTGAAAGCATTATATTAGGTGAAAGAAGCCAGGCACAAAAGGCCATAAGGATTCCAATTAGTGCCCGTTGGATAATATAGTTGAAACATGAGGAGCAATAACATGAATATAATCACAGGTTATGCGCTTCCCTGGTGGCTGAGTCAGTAATGAATCCACCTGCAGTGCAGGAGACCTGGGTTCCATCCCTGGGTCTAGAAGATCCCTTAGAGAAGAAATGGCACCCCATACTAGTTTTCTTGTCTGGAAAATCCCATTGACAGAGGAGCCTGGTGGGCCACAGTCCAGGGACCTCTCTGGAATGGTGGAAGGTTCTAGATGTGTGCTGTCCACGTGGCCACATGCTACTAGGAGTACTTGACATAATTGGTACAGCCAAGAACCTGAATTTTATCTTTATTTGATTTAAACAGTGACATGTGGCTAGAGGCTGATGGTAACCCAGCTGATGGCTGTCATACAGGTGGTGTTTGGGGTCAGATTAGCTATCTGCAGGGCTGCGTCTCCCGTAGCCAACCCAGTCCTGAGCAAGTGCTCAGGCTTAGAGGACCATGGCCATGCCCATGGGTGACCCCACGTGAGAGCACCTCTGGGTATGCACACCTCATCCTGGGACTGTGGGGAGAGGGTGCAGCAGTAGCAACCCTCACTCACTGCCTGACTCTGGACCTGTCTTCCTGGCTGCATGGAAATCCACGGTCACCATGTAGGCCAGATCTGGGAGGATGGGGTGGCCACAAGCCAGCCCCTTTCCTGGTGTCCCAAGGGCTGCCAACGCCTGGCTGACTGTGTGCCCAGCTGCCTGCAGCTGCCCCTGTGCTTCTGAATGAATGTGATCAAGAACACACACTTTGTGTTTGACATCCGCAAGACCAGGTTCACGGATAGCCATTGTGATGGTGGTAGCCACTGCCTGGTGGTGGTGGCCCAGACCTTCATGAACTTTTGCTCCATATCGAACACAAGTTGGGCAAGGACTTGCCCTCCAACAAGCTGCTCTATGCCGAGGACATCCCTAACTGCAAGACGGTAAGAAAGCCTTTGACTGTGTGGATCAGAACAGACTCTGATCTCTTAAAGACTGGAATATCAGACCACCTTACCTGTCTCCTGAGAAACCTGTATGCAGGTCAAGAAGCAACAGTTAGAAACAGATCAGTTCAAAATTGGGAAAGGACTGTGTCAAGGCTATATATTGTCACTGTTTATTTAACTTACATACATCATGTGAAAAGCCAGGCTGGATGAATCATAGCCTGAAATCAAGATTGCGGGAGAAATATCAACAGCCTCAGATATGCAGGTGATACCACTCTAATGGCAGAAAGTGAGGAAGAACTAAAGAGCCTCTTGATAAAGGTGAAAGAGGAGAGTGAAAAAACAGAGTTAAAACTCAGCTTTCAGAAAACTCAGATCATGGCATGCAGTCCCATCACTTCATGTCAAATAGATGGGAAAACAATGGAAACAGTGACAAACTTTATTTTCTTGGGCTCCAGAATCACTGTGGATGGTGACTGCAGCCATGTGATTAAAAGATGATTGCCTTGGAAGGAAAGCTGTGACAAACCTAGACAGTGTATACAGAGATAGCAGAGACATCTGCAGTCATGACTATACGACAAAGGTCTATATAGTCAAAGCTGTGGTTTTTCTAGTAATCATGAACAGACGTGAGAGTTGGACCGTAAAGAAGGCTGAGCAAAAGAACTGATACTTTCGAACTGTGGTGCTGGAGAAGACGCTTGAGAGTCTCTTGAACAGCAAGGAGATCAAGCCAGTCAGTCCTGAAGGCTATTGACCTTGAATATTGATTGGAAGGACTGCTGCTGAAGCTCCAGTACTTTGGCCACCTGATGGGAAGAGCCAACTCATTGGAAAAGACCCTGATGCTGAGAAAAATTTAAGGCAAATGGAGAAGGGGGTGGTAGAGGGATGGGATGGTTAGATGTCACCACCAACTCAATGGACACGCCTTTGAGTAAACTCTGGGTGACTATGAAGGACAGGGAAGCTTGGCATGCTGCAGTCCATGGGAGCCCAAAGAGTCGGACATGACTTAGCAACTGAACAACAACAGTAATCACTAGTTATAGTAATGGGTCAAAACCCAGTGGGGGGGAGTAAGCTGAATCAAAATGAATTCATTGTTTTGGGGCTAACTTTGAACATAACTTGATATTTCTAATTCTGTTTCAATGGAGGAAATGTTGCTATCTTTTTCAAAATGACACATTTAAAAGTATTTACTGTAATGACAGTGACTGTGAGTATTTGATTCATGAGACACTAAAAAGTTGCTTTAATACTATTCTTCTGCCTGCTATCTATTGTTCTCTTAGTGCAATGGCAAGAATTTTCTGACTGCCGCAGGATCCCAGTTTAGGACAAAGTTGACCTCTCTTTAAACTCTGGTCCATACTTTTCCTGAGGGAAGACATGATTAAATTAATCTTTGAAACCCTCCTGGGATAGAAGGAGTTAATAGTTTTTAAAAGGGTAATCAGAGGGGGCATTCTCTGGTGGGCCAGTGGTTAGGACTCTGTGCTTGCACTTCAGAGGGCATGGGTTTAATCTCTGTTGGGAGAACTATGATCCCGCAAGCTTCGGGGCCAAAAGAAAGAAAGAAAGAAAGCAAGCCAGAGGACAAACAAAGTAAAATACAGAACTGTATGAGCAGGCACATGTTACTTTTTCTTTGCTTTGTGTTTTTAATTTCTCTGGTCAAGCCTTCATTCTTTAAAACCTGCGGACATTAGGGATCAGGCTGAATGAACGTCATAAGAAATACAGGTTTGGTTTAGTTCTAACTTTTTCTTCTTGCAGTCTGGTCATTTTATGTAGCCCTAGATAAAGTTCACATGCTACACTCAGAAGACAGCGTCTCTAACCAGATGCATGGCTGCTGGATAGCATGATTGGCCTCTGCACTAGACTCGCTGGGCTTGAATTGTCCCTCTGCTCTATGCTAGCTTGACGATGTCGGCATGCAGTTTCCTTATCTGTGAACTAGGGATAATTATAGTACCTACCTCATAGGGCTGTGAACAGTAGCTACGTGTACCTAACTCATAGTAAATACTGTATGAGTGTGTTTAGAGAAAATATAAAGAAGATGAACTAACCATTAAGGAAAAGAAGAAAGTTGACTGCATGAAGATTAGAAGTAAATTGAGGGAGAGATCTCGGAGTAGGAGCAGTTCATTGTCATG